ATGTGTGTGGTGTGTATGGGGGTGTATGTGTGTGGTGTTTGTGGTGTGTGTGTGTTTATAAAATACATTTTTCACATGTCCTTTATCTGTTCATAAGCTGATAGGCACCTCGATTAATTCTGTGTCTTGGCTATGTGCCTTTTGTGCTGGGTAGGGAGGAGTCTTGGCACAGCCTAGCCATTGTTCCAGAATTCTCTAGCCAAGGTAAAAAAAAAAAAAATAGCCAGTTCCCCACCCACACCCCCAGGACTGGCAAAGACTCAGCAGTAAAGAGGACTGGATGCTCGCTTTTCTAGAGAACCTGGGTTTGATTCCCAGCACTCACATGGCTGTTAACAACTGCCAGGTACAGGGGACCTGATACCCGCTTCTGACCTCTACAAGCATATCATGCTCCCAGTACACAGACATATATGAAGGCAAAACAGCCATACATTTAAAAGTAAAATAAAAACAAAGAAAAAAAATATGTCCCCCAACTGATTTGAGGTTCTGCCTCCTCCATACATGGTGTTTCTGGAAAGAAAAGCCAGAAAGAGTAACTGACTGTCATCTGGGCTCTCTCTCTTCACTGACCAGCCTCCCTTGCCTCTGGCCCTGGGGCCTTCGCCCAGCTTCCTGGAGGGACAGCAAGCATCACAAGGGATAATGCTTCCTTCACCAGACCAGAGGCCAAATAACACTCTACCATCTCAGATGGTCCACTCTCCCTCTCAGCAGCACTGTTCTCAGGACAGACAAGCTTGCCTCACGAGACAAGCAACCCTTTTGATAAGAATAGAATATAGGACCTAGCTGCAAGTCAGGGGTTGTATTTTTGTCCCCTGGATCTTCTCAGAACCCCCAAAGAAAAGCAGCAGCATTGTCACCATGTCTCCTTCTCCTAGACGCCACCTTGAGGCTGGGAACATGTGCCCATGTGCCCATGTGCCCCATGATCTGGTTGTGAAGGGTCATGTTCCAGGCCAAGAAGATGGCCCTGGTGTACACAAACTGATTCAACTACATTATGATTTCTAGGTGTGTATGCGAGTGTGTGTGCATGTGTGTGTGTGCGTGCATACACATGCATATATGCACATGCCATGCATGAGCTCACAAGCATGTCCATATACAGAGTGTACGTATACAGGGGCCAGAGGAGAATGTCAACTATCCTGTTCTATTATCCTTCCCTTTATTTCCTTGAGACAGTAGCCTGGCAGGCAGCAAGGCCCAGAGATCTGACCCTCCTGTCTCTGGCCCCTACTGCACTGGGTTTGTAGGCACACATGCAACCATGCTCAGCTTTTTACCTGGGTGCTGGAAGTTCAAACTCAGGTCCTCATGTTTGCACAGAAAGAACTCTTTCCCACTGAGCCATTTCCTCAGACTTTTTAGGCTATTTTTAAAGTTGGGCTTGTTCTTTAGAGACATTTGTAGATCCCAGAGAGTTGTTAAAGGATACAGAGATGGAACATTTATCCAACTCCCCCATGGTAGCATCTTGCAAACCTGAAGTAGACTATTGCACTTATTGTAATGGCGTAGCAGCGTCCTCTGATTCTATGTATGTGTGTATTCCATTCTTCACACCTGTATTATAGGGCTAGTGGGGTCCCGTGTCTGCTCCGCTATAGGGCTCAGGCTGCTCGGGGAGGCAGGATGTGGGAAGTTTGACCATACTTACCCCACGCAGGCACTGGGCTGGTATCAGGCTATGGGGAAGCCACAGGACACCACTCCAGGGTAGGGGAGTGTTGAGGTTCTGGGGACAGCTGAAGCTGCAGGAAGTCCGGGCCATCTGATTCTCAGGCTCTTGGGCACCTAGGTGCTGCTGGGAGCCTCAGAAGAGCTGAGAATGGAGTGGGGACCCGTGGGCTGGATCTAGCCCGGGGCCAAGGAGGGAAAGAGGGGACCTCTGGCTGGATCCTTCAGGGAATGAGTTCTTGACTTGGTTGGCAGGTGGCTGGCTTGGCTTGGTGGTCGTGGCTGGGAGCGCAGAGAGGCTTCCTATGGGAGATTAGAGGCAATGGCTCTTCAGGGAGATGTTGATGAAAAGAGACAGTCCATGATTTTAAGGCATTTATTATCATGGTGGAAAATGGTTGAGTAAAACCGTACCCCCTTTCTCAGGGTGGGCCTGAGGTTAAATGCAGGGAGGAGCGTCTGGGAAGGAAAGCTTAATTGGCTAAGCCCTTCAGGCCTTTAGGTACCTCATTAAAATGGAGATCTGTCTTGAGGCTACAGGACCGCAGGTCACGTCCTCTACCTGTGGTGGGGCTTGGGGCATTGCCCTTGCATGACTGATGGCCACAAATCTATGGCGGGCTGCAGCCTCATGTGAGGAGCCTGGTGTCTGGAAACCAGGCAAAATGCCTGCTGTCCCTTTAGGGTCACCAGGGGTTTCTAACCTTAGCTCCACCAGGAACCAGGGTGCCTTTCATGGTCCTACACTGTATCACCTGTGTAGATGTGTCAAGATACAGAACCACCCATCACCACAAAGCTCCTTCCTGTTGCCTCTTATGACCACCCAGTAATCTATTTCTCTAATCCATCCTTTTAAGAATATTCTATCAATGGAATCATATAGTATAATTGAGGGCCAAGGTTTTCGTTCATCCTAATTTCCTTAAGATTCTCCCCAGTTTGAGTGTATACCAGTAGTTTATTTCTTCCAATCGCTGTTACTGTGGCTTTAACCATTAAATACCCCAACATGACACCAAGACCCGATTGCAAATCCTTTGAAACGTGAACCTCAAGGATCTCTCGCTCTACAATAGAAAATGCCATTTTGTTTATTTCTTTATCTCTTGGTTTACATGTGACATGGGCGAGGTGGGACACATGGCTAGTTTTCCTAGCTCCATTTAAACATTCCTAGGTCCCATTGCCCATCCGCCCCCAGGTCAGTTGGGTTACAGTTTCCTTTAGCTCCAACTGACGGTTCCTTCTCTGTCTCCCTACTCCTCTCTGTCCCCAGGAGCACATCTACAAGCTGATGAAGAGTGACAGCTATGCCCGCTTCCTACGGTCCAATGCTTACCAGGATCTGTTGCTGGCCAAGAAGAAGGTATCTTGGGAAGGTCAAGCTTGCCTTTCTTAGCACTGTCGACTCTTGCTGCTGCTTGCTGCTGGTGTGAAATGAGAATATCATCCGTTGGGTTTTATTTATTTTTCCTTTCTTCTCTCTCCTCCTGTCTGCTCCCCTCTAATTGTAAATAGTGAGAAAGGTTACAGTTCCAGCCTCTCCTCCTTCCCCAACCCCATATCCAGGATATTCAGTCTTCGGTGTCCCTATGCCTTTTATGTGACCAGACATCATTGTCACAGTAGTTCAGCCTCAGAATGTCAGGTTGGCAGTGACCCAAGCAAATCTCTTAGGATACCAGAGAGACTTTCACTGCCAGTTTCATCCAGTCATTCACAACAGTCCTTCCCTCTTTAACCAGACTGGAAAGGGAGTAAACAAACCCAGCTCCATCCTGGGAAAGAAAGTCTTGTTAGTGTTAAGGGGATCTTTCAGATATCTAAATAATCACCAAGATTGGCCATGGGTCCCTCCTTGCTATGCTGTTGCCTCGAAAGTTTTTCCTGATTCTTGGAACCAGGAATTAACTTCATTCCAACCACTTCCTCCTCTTCCACTTGGAGTTAAATCATGGCTCTTACAGCCTGTGGAGTCTTGGTTCACAGAGCCCCAAAGCCCTCGGCATGTAGGTGGTGAGGGGGGCTGGAACAGGGACAAATTTAGCTAGATTTCTGGGGAGAAGGAATGCAGAATGGTACATGGGGCTAGGAAAGGGAAAGACAAGAGAGGGCTTGTGAATCTAGAGAGCCTGCCAATCCTCTGTACACTTCAGCTCCAACCTGAAGCCCATGTGTAGTTAAGTATGGCTCAATTTACACACACACACACACAAACACACACACACACACACACACACACCTCTTTCTTCTTCCCACCAGGTCTTCAAACCCTGTCCCCAAGCACACAGTTATTCACCCACAGGCTTTCTGTCAGGTTGCCTCTCAGCCTCACATCCTTCTCTGTGTATTGGCAACTGTTCTTCATGTTTGGCGGCCTGCCTATCTGGTTGGTTCCATGTAACTCCAGAGTCCTGAAGAACATATACGACCACCTTCCCGTGCTTACAACCCTCAGAAGAGTCCCAAGACTCTGAGAAAAATGAAAGGAATTCTGGAAGGTCTATTGTCAAAAGTTCAGCTCTGGTGGTTCCCAAGCCCCTCCTTTGAGTATAGATGCTGGGTTAGAGAATGTAAAACCTAGTCTTTTGCCAATTCCCTTATTGGAGGATGGGTTCTAGTAGAGAGAGGTTGAAGCTTCCACTCACAGTGACTCTGGTACTCACTATTTAAGCACTGAAAAAACAATATCAAGGTCATAGACTTGGGGTACTTATACCCCAATCTCATGGGAGAAAATCAAATGAAACATTTCTTATTTCTTGAGGCTCAAGACCCCCTAAACTGACTGTATTTAGGGGATACTTAAGGCTCCAGCAATCTCACCAATCTATGCCTACCTATGTAAACTTTTGGGTCAAAAGCATTTCATCTCCCCGTGGATGTGAACACAAATGGAAGATTCACCTCAATCCAGAAAGTGGGCTGAACCAGCTGAGTTTGCAGATCCTTCCTACTCAGCAAAGCCTTCAGGAGGTCAGTGAAGTGGGGAAGGAATTAACCCCTCCCTGGGGAAACTTACAAATGAAGTTCATCACAGTTATCCCTGAACCCTCCAACTAAGGGATGCTCTTACAGCAGAAAGCTGGAGAACCGGCTGATGTCTTTTCAATATGGAGGAGTTATTTCCCCCAGGTACTTTCTTCATCCATGTCTTCCTGAGAGTCTCTGGGTATCAGATTTGATACTTAGCAGAAGGTCCAGAGCATCTTCTGACTCCAGTGATACTCATCCTGTGATAGCAATCCCCAGGTTATAAAAGGGTATGTGAGATTTCTGCCCTCCGGCCACAGAGGTAGGGTAAGAATTGGCCTCCCCTTTTGTCTGAGAGCCTTGCCTGATTGAGTCTAGAAGCTCAGCAGTCCTGTCTTTCTTGACTCTTCCTCTTTTCTGCTATCTTCAGAGGAGAGGGTAGTTGCTCTGGAGAACTAGACTCTAAGGGTGGGGAGTCTAGATTTTAGTGATGTAACAGCGATGCTAGTATTCCACAGCAGCTCAAGGGAGACCCAACTATGTGGCTAGGGAGACCTGGCATGGGCTTGACTTGACTCAGTAGCTACCATCTGGTACCTTTAGGGTGAGAGCTGAGCTTTGCCATCTCCATAGCAGAGTGGGTACAGCCAGACATGGTTCCTGCAGGCCAGATGTAAGAAGAAAGCCCAACCCAACCCTATGGTCATGTGTCATTTGTCTTGTGTTTTCCTTCTGCAACTTCGTATCTGTCTTTCCGGAGCTGGCTGAGTCAGCAGGGGGCATGGGTGGATGCCAAGGATGGCTGCCTTTGCCAGACCCTTCTGCTTCTAGCACATTCCAGACCCACAGACACCTAGCTGCTTCTTCAGTTCCCGAGTTGCAAGTATTTGCTCTGTATGTTTTGTGTGTGTGTGTGTGTGCACGCGCACATGAGTGCGTGTGTTGTCGCTACCGTGTGTGTCCTCTGAATTTGTCAGCCTTGGGCTCAGGACCTGAAAGAGGGGCTCTAAGTTAAGCGAGCAGGTATGTGGGATAGAATTCTGTTCTTTCCAGGTAGGAAATTTGGGGAGAGGATCAGGGCCTACACACACGACTCTTTTCCTCCTATGAGGCCTATAGACCATTCCATGCTTTTGCATTCTCTTGCCTCTGCTCCTTGAACTTTAACAGTTACCCAGGGAGGCTCCTGGGGCTCCTGGAATACACCCCGTGGATAGCTTAGAAGCGACACCACTTGGGAACCAAGAGAGTATTTTCTGCTCAGAGCACGGCTTGTCCTTTCCTGAGGCCTCGGAGCCTTTGTCACTGCAAAGGACTTGAGTAGACTCTCCTTGCTCTCAGGACACAGAAAATCATGAGGAAGCCATTGAAAATAGCAATGTTCCTCTAAGCAGAAAAAAATAAAATTTCACGAGAGAAAACAGCCCTGACCCACACTCGCAGATGAATTCAAGGACTTCACCTCCCCAGTGGCTGCTTCCAAACAGCCTGTCAGTATCCCTCCACTACCACACACGGACAACCCTCAGAGCAAGTCTGGTCTGTGTCACCACTTGGAGGCCCATACGGCTGCCCAGGGGCCTCTTGGCCACAGCCTCCCAGGACTCTGACTGACTTCAGAGCACAGCTGAGAGATCGCCCTGAATAGCAACCAGGGAAGGCCCTAGAGAAAGCAAAGGCTCAGTGGTACCACCCATGGCCCTTCAAGAAGCCCATTCTCACCTTTCCCTCCCCTGGGCTCCACAGAGGCAGTGTGGCTCTCCTGAGCTTCTGTTTCCCCGACTCTCCATCGGCTCTGCCAACAGCTCTGACTGCTTCTCTTTTCCCATTTTGCCGCATTTGGCTTTTGTGTTTTGTTCTTTAGCTGTGGCTGCTGCTGTTTAGAAATCACGTGTAAGCTGAAGAATTTTTTTCCCTGTATTTTTCTCCCTACCCTTTTTTTTTCTCCCCCTAAAGCCAGAAAGTGAGCAAGGTCGTAGAACTTCCCTAGAAAAATTCACCCGCAGTGTGGTAAGTTCAGCTGATTTTCTGTCCTCCACATTTCTTTTGCTTTTGGTCTTACAAACCTTTTTTTTTTTCCTCCCTCCCTTTTTGGTTGTTGTCTTCTTTGGGGTGGGAGGGGGGGTCCAGTGCTTCCCCTCCCCCCACTGACCCCTTTTCTTTTGCAAGTGTCTGCAGCTTCTCTTCCAGGGATGGAATTGCTAAAATGGACAAGCAGCCCCCCTCTGCAGAAGGTTCACAGCTCAAGGCCCAGCCATGAGCCCAGCCGCAGGTGGGACCCTGTGGCCTCTTTTCAAGGCTCTGAGGAGAAAGGGACCTTACTGCTCCAGGGGGCTGGGCCATCTGTGCATCTTCTACAGCAGCCTGGGGAGAAGGCCTTGAAGCAAACCATGAACCAAATTGGCTGAGAATTATTCATTTTTTTTTTTTAAAAAAAAAAAAGAAAAAAGAAAGAAAGAAAATCGAGATTTCCCTCTGTGAACCCTGACAGTAGTTGTGTTAGCGTGGGTTGCTGCTGTTGCTGCTGCGTAGACGCCTTTTGCTGTGTGCAGAAAGCAACTGTGCTGCATGGGTCGTGGCAATGTGGTCTAGCTGGGATGTGTGTGTCAGTGGCCTCTGCATGGGAACCTACAGCCCTTAAGGTCCCTTGTCAGCCTTATTTGCATAGTGTGACCTAGAAGGAAGATAGTTGCTGAGTCCCATAGCTGTACCAAGCACTTTCCAGGGCCAAGGTTTTATCAATCTCCTCAACCCCTGATCCTGACAATGAGTGAAAACAGGGTTCAGGGTCGCTGTCCCTGCAGGGAAATGGTCTTTCCCCTTTACACACCAGCTTAGAGAACCAGAGGCTCACACACTGACACAAAGCAAGGCCAGATAAGAGCAGTTCATGAGGTTCCTATGGGATCTATACCATAAGATTCTATACCATGACCTGTCATAGCATAGGGCAGAACCACCTCCTCCTTCAAAGCCTAAGGCTTGATACACACTGACTAGTCTAGAAGGAACCACTGAGTTCTTGAGACCCTGCCTGTATTGTTAATGTCAAACTAGTAGCAACCAAGATAGCAGTTGGGATAGCACATGGCACTGGCCACCTTCCCCTTCCCGAAGAGTGGGGCCCACTGATGCTAACTTGCCTTGTTTCTCCACCTCTGTCAAGGAGCAAAGTCCTTGTATACATGACTCCTGTATCATTAGTATCTTTTTAAATAGTCTAAGAAATCCTGGGTTGAAAGCCACCTAGCCATTTTTCCATCATAGCTGGATGCATTTTTAATGGCATTTAAACATGATTTTTGAATTCACCAAATGTATACATCACAACACCTCAGGGAGATGGCAGTTAAAAAATAGACGCTCCTCTTCTTCCTTGTAGGTTTTCTCACAAGAGAAACCAGAAAATGCAGACTATGAGACCTGTTGGCCCCTTGCCTAACAGCTGGTCTGCCATGGTTACGTGGTCATGAAGATACACTGTCAGAGGCCAGGTCCATGGGACCTCTTCTACCCCCCAATTGCTTCATAGAAAGTGGAGGGCCTGAGTCCCAGCAACTATAGATGGAGGAGGTTTAGAATTGAGTTGACAAGTTAAGAGCATGCTGTAGAGGCCACTGGGACTCTCAGGTGCAAACTAAGGAGTCGGGGGGGTTCATTTCTGGAAAAACTGAGCTCTGACAGCCCTGTGGATGCTCCTCAGGGATACTTGGGAGCTGAGGTATAAGAGGGGAAGCCTGGTACTTAGACAAGATGTGCAAACATCTTCAGGCTGTCTTCCATGAGAAGTGGGTATCGGAATGGGGAAAGACGGTCTCAGTGGAGCTCCAAGGAGCATTAGTTGCTGTCCCTTGCCCTCAGTAGTGCTGTTAGCTCGGTGGATCTCTATGTTCTATTAACACAAGCAGAACAGGAAAGCGCCTGCTCCTCCATACATCTGCCATACCATGGAGATTCACAGAGAGGCTGTTGGGAAGCCGAAAAGTAGCCCAAGCTCCCAAGACTTGGGCATTTATGGACTAAAGGCTCAAAGTCTTCAAAATGATTCTCTGAGTTTCTTTCATGTAGGGAAGGCTCTACTAGGTGACGATTCACGCTTCCTGGTTCCATGATGGTCGTAGATTGGACTTGACCCTTCCATGCTCATTGTGTGCTATGAATAACACCCCGATCGCACAGGTGGAGCTAAGTCTGGGAACACGGTCATGGCTGTAGAGATATCATCTGTCTTGTAAGGCAACTTGAACTCAGAGCACAAGAATTCGGTCTCAACATCCCAGTATTTTAATCAAACATAACCAGCCAACCAATATGCAGTGCAGTTTGGTATCTGTTTTCTGAATATTATTCATAGACACAAAGTGTTCAGCTTCTCTGAAAGATTCACTCATGTTTCCTGTGCTACACACTCACCACTAACAAAGTGAAGGGATGGTTTAGTGTCAGTCCCATGTCACTGAGATCAATGGACAGACTATCCATATTCACTACTGATGGAGAACTGAGAGGAGAAAGAAAGGCAGTTCAGTAATAAGGGCATGGGATTGACTGCCCTTTAAAATTAATCAATGGGCAGTGGGTTTTATTCAAGCAGCTGGATAGCCTAGTCAGGTGGAGTCTTATTAGGACTGGAATTCTCCCCTGGAGCATGGCGATGTTCCTTTCTTCCTTGATAAGGGAGTGACATCCTCAGAGAGAAATTGTCCATTCTCTCCGAGTCTAAAGGCATGCCATGACATGGAGGGGCTGCCTGTCGGAGGCCAAAGACATCAGTTCCTTAGGAGTAGTTGCGTGTTTCATAGAGACGTGTAAGGCTATGCTTTTAAAGAGCAAAGGGGCCTGGCCATCCACAGAAGCAGTGCTGGGAGGGCTTCCCTCCCTCCAGTGGAAGTTTCATGAGGAAGTCACCTGAGACTTTGATGTACCAGAAAAATATCGAAGGTGTTATGCCAAACATCATGTCATCTAACAGACTGGAACCAGGGAGCTTACCTAAAACCTGCTTATCTGCTGGCAAAGGCCTAGGTTCAGAATCAAATGTGAATGAAAGTCTGCAGTGGGCTGCAGCTAACCCATATGTACTTTATTTTGGGGTGAAAAGCAGGACTCCCTCTGGTGGGCCCAGCCACGTGTGTGTACCCCTCTGGACATTCAAATCACAGGCTTCATTCATCTCAGCCACCACTTGTCTCTCAGATATCCATGTGTTGTTAATTACCCACTACTGTAAGCAGTAGCCCTTGTTCAAAGATTCCCTAGCTTCAGAAAGGATGATAATACATAACAGCTTTTCAAGGCTTTCAAACATGGGCTCAGGCCAAAGCGAGAGTCTAGAATCCAAGAGCTAGCCATCAAAGTTAGACGGTGCTGAGAGACCAAAGAAAGGCACAGACAAACCCAGGATTGCCCAGGACACAGTATATCAGGGACTTAGCATCAGAAGCATGCTCTGAGAAGCAGGAGGATGAGAGAGTAAGGGGCATGTATGCCAAGCCAGACAAGAATGAGCCGCGGCTAAGTACCTGGGGTTTCCCAAACACTCTTAATGTATAATGTATCAACTGAGAACCAGTCCAGGTTGCAGTGGCCAGCAGGAATGCTTGGTTGGCTATCTTTGTCTTGAAGTTTTTTATTTTATTTTATCGTTTTATTTATTTTGTTAACGGGGGTATGTAAGTACAGGTGCCCATGCAGTCCAAACAAGAGGATTAGAGCCCTTGGACTCAGAGACACAGATGGCTGTGAGTCATCAGAGATGGGTACTGGGAACTAAACTCAAGTCCTCTGTAAGAACAGTACCCAGTCTTAAGTCCCTTTCTGAACTCAACCCAGCTTTACCTTGTCTTTCTCTCCAAGACCCGTCCTTTCCTCAATGGCTATGACATTCGAAATCCACATTAGGGAACACCCAGTGATCCTTGTGGGCCGCCTCTTTTGTGTCACCTTCTACAGGGTCCTCTGGTGGGAAGCCACAGAGGAGGAGAAGGCTGTCCCCAAAGAAGGACTACTCTCCACTGCTTAGCACCCGCTAGCTTGGCACTCTGTTGTCTTCCTGGTTTTGTGGTTGAGAGATGGCAGGCTGGAGGAATGAGTGGCCTCCGGGCATGACTCTGGCAGAGGATCATGGGCTTCTGGGGAGGCAGAGCCGGTGAGAGGAAACAAAAAGGGCTCACCAAGGAGCAGCAGCAACATCATTTTCTTTTGGATGGCAGCTGAAGCCATCTGGTGTGAACTCTGAGCTGAGGAAGAGAAAGTCCCTTGTCCCTTGCACACAGTAGCAGGAAAGACACCCCAAAGTATGATGGCATTTAAATGAAGAGAAATAGTAGCCCCAGCGTGTCTGGAAGCCACTCCCCTTTACCTTCCTCATTAAAGCCCCAGCTAACCCTTGAGAGTTCTATCAGCTCTAATTCTGGACTGCAAAGACAGAAAACAGGTACCTGAGCAGACTCAGGAGGCTGCAGAGGAGAGAGGTGAGGAGTCGGTTTCCGCACACCCCTAGGAGATGTGGAGGGGTGTCTTTGCTGTGGTATTCTGTAAACTCCAGCAGGAAGGGCTGGAAGCAAAGGACTCCTTGGCACATGACCAGTGGCATCTCTGTTTTGGGCTTTCCATTCTTTTGTGCTGCCTGCCAAGATATGCACAGTGGGGTGGAGGAAGTCAGATGGAGATGAAGCCCAGGGAGCCAGCTGTCATTCCTCAGTCCCTTCTCTCCTCAACAGAAAACTAGAGAGAACCTTCTGGAAGCAGAACTTGGCACCTCACTGGGCTCTGCTCCACAAGACTCCAGTTCCAGGCCAGAGTTAGAAGGCTGGAGCTTTCAGGAAGGTTTGGGGAAATAGAGTAACTGACCCAGTGGCAACACCTCCTTCTCCCTTTGCCTCAGTGTCTCCTGAGGAATAGCCTGGTAGAACAAGTCTTCAAGCATTTAGACTCAGCAGAGTCCCAGAAGGCCTGGACCTTAGTCAGAAAAACTTTTCAGGTCTTCGGCCTGAGGCAGTTGGCTGAAA